CATCCAGAACGGGGTGTTAGACAAGGATGTATACTATCTCCACAATTATTCAACATATATGGGGAGTATATTATGCGAAGAGCACTTGAAGGATGGGAAAAGGGCATCTCAATAAATGGTCATAAACTAAACAACCTACGTTTCGCAGATGACACAGCCCTTCTTGCAAATAGTCAAGCAGAGCTGATAGAACTTATACGACTAATCGAAAACGAAAGTCAAATATTTGGTCTGCAATTAAACATATCAAAGACAAAGATCATGATAGTGGATAGACTACACAACAATCATCCACACATAACCACAATTGACCGGTTCGAGGTTGTGAGCTCATACTTATATCTGGGATCATTAATCACAAACACAGGGTCATTACAAGAAGAGCTTAAACGTAGATGTGATCTAGCAAAAGTTGCCACAGCAAAAATGACCAAAATATGGAAGGACTGTCAAATTTCAAGAGCGATAAAGATGAGGTTAATCAACTGCTTAACATTCCCAATACTGACCTACGGATGTGAATCTTGGACTCTGAGACAATCGAAGAGAAGAAAGATAGACGCCACTGAAATATTCTGTTGGAGACGAATGTTACGAATTCCTTGGACCGACCGTAGAACAAATAATTCAATTTTAAGAGAGCTAAAAGTTAGCCAACGACTCTCTAGTAAAGTCCATCTCCAACAATTAAAATATTTTGGGCATGTTATGAGAGCAAACACAGAAAACATGGAAAGACTCATAATATAAGGAAAGGTAGAAGGCCGAAGATCACGAGGAAGATCCCCAACAAGATGGATAGATCAAATTACAGGAATATGCCAAAGACCTATACATGAATTAAAAGAAATGACCAGAGACAGAGATCTCTGGAGCCGGACAATACACGACATCACGTCGACCTACACTCCCCCTGAGGGGTCAGGATTGAAGAGAGAGAGTTGTATGCACTGACGATGGGTCTTAGGGGGACATTGGGTTTATGGCTTATTGGCAGGCCATATATTCTTGGAATTCGGGATGATTTTTCTCTGGGTATAAGAGACTTTTTTTTTGTCTTGTTGTGAAGGTGGAGTAGACTTATTTATGATGGATTTGGTCGTTTTTCTCTAGATATGTGGTGGCATAGTTTGGAACGCATTTTTATTCTATGGAATTAAGGTCGAATATTTTGATAATATAAAAAAATAAATAAAAGAGTTGAGAATGACGGTGGCATTACCTTTGTCGACCGGAAGGATAATAATATCATGGTTGTTATAAAGTTCTTTGAGTGGACATCTTTCTGAAAGACTGATACTTGACGGTGAGGGTTTAGAAGTACGAAGAATTCTGGCGACATCTTGTCTAGCAACTTGGGCTAGGTTGGAAGAAAGAAAAGAAATAGCTTCTTCAGTTTGACAAATAATTTTCTCAGTTTGGGTAGAAAGAGGAACGACAGAAAAATTGAAGCCTTTTGACAGAGAAATTGCATATAACAGTAAAAGGTTATTGGTCTGAAATGGGCCATGAATTTTGCTGACAGATAAGTTGTTCCAGTTGTTCCTGGGTTTCTGGGTTTTTTTGTCAGAAATGTGTTGGGCTTTTTGGTGAAACAGATGATCGAAAGTGTCCTATAATAATAGATGAATATTATAAGAGTGGATATTATTGTAGATTTTGAAAAGTTTTGAATTTGTTGTGTTTAAGTTGGTCGGGTGGAATTAATACTACAAAACGGCTACCCCAAAATATATAATAAATATAAACCCCACACCATTCAAAAAAGAAATCTAAATGACTCATGACTTATTCTTCTAATTCTTCCAGAACTAGTTGAGCAATGACACTGGAAATTCTGGTAAATTTTTGGTGGAATAGCGTTGATGTGATTTTGCTGTATTTGGTGATGTATAACCATGTTTGTCCCTTAGCATTATTTCTTTTTTGGAAAATATTGGTAGGATTATTTCTAAGTTTATGATGTATGGTTTGGTCTTTTAAAAGATCATTCATTTTATTGTCATAATCCGTAGATTCCATATTATCGATAATATCGGTTGTGTTGCTTTTATCAGGTATGAGTACAACTACATTAGGATTTTCCCTCAAGAAGGTTATTTTCTTCTTCTAGTTCCATGATCGTTATCGATCGTTGGATATCATGTTCCCTACCATATTTGCTATCGTAACTTTATTGACAGCAGCTATAAATAACGATGTAGTTGATTTTCCATACCATTGCCTTAGATTTTTCAGCTATGATGTTCTTCTTCTACCAGAACTACGATTAGCTTGGATCTTTCTCTGAATGATTAGATGTAAAAGATCATATTTTTCAGGGTGTCTCATAATGTGACTGAAGTATTCCAGCTTGTGTTTCTTTATTATATTGACCAGTTGTGTTGTTTGGTTCAGCCGTCTAAGGACCTCCTTATTTCTAACTCTGTCGACCCAGCTTATTTTCAGTAGTCGTCTGTATACCCACTTCTCAAAGGCTGTCAAGCGTTTAAGGATAGCCTCAGTTAGAACCCACGCTTCCACTCCATACAGCAGGAAAGATACTCTGTCTAGTGTGGCATTTCCGACTTTTATACTATTATTCTGTATATAATTTTGTTTGCTAACTATTATATATTTAGTTTTCTTAACGTTGAGTTTTACACAAGTCTGTTTTATTTTGTTCATTAGATTTTGAAGGTCTTCTCCGCAATAAGCATGCACTAAGGTATCGTCGGCATATCTAATATTGTTGACGGTTACTTCATTCACAATAATACCTTCGGTTGTCTCCATTAAGGCTTCCTTAAATATTTCCTCCGAATATAAGTTAAAAAGTAAAGGCGACAATATACAGCCTTGTCACACTCCTCTTTTTATATTTATTTCATCCGACAGTTCTTGTTCAACCTTTATTCTTGCCACTTGATGCCAGTATAGATTTGTAATTATTCATAGATTTTTATCGTCCAATCCAGCTGTTTCCAATATTTCTAGCATTTTGTTATGTCGGACTTTGTCAAAAGCCTTTTCAAAATCGATTGCACAAATGTACAAATTTTGATTTATATCTCTGCATCTCTGTACTAGCACCTGTATACTAAACAAGGCTTTTTTTGTACCCAAGCCACTCCTAAGCTCAAATTGAGTATTGCTAATTCTGTCCTCTGACATCGTGTAAATTCTGCTGTGTATTAGTGTACACCTACATTGGAACCGTATTTCTCCCGATCCGATATCTGGCGACGTCGGCCGACGTCGGATTGGAAACAAACTCAAGGTATTAAATAATAGTGCCTATACTACTTCCGTGACGAAGCAGTATAGGCACTCTGATTTAATACCTTGAGTTTGTTTTTAATCCGACGTCGGCCGACGTCGCCAGATATCGGATCGGGAGAAATACGGTTCCAATGTAGGTGTACACTTACTCGCAGGAAGATCTTCAAAACGTGACTTATCAGACTTATTGTCCGATAATCACCGCATGTCTTTGGAGGATGTTTCTTAAGTATTGTGACAAATGTCGACTTTAACCAATCAGTTGGTAATATTCCAGTGTCATAAATTCTGTTAAAGAGATTACACAGAGCTTTAATTCCATTTTTTTACCAAAAACTTTAGTATTTCAGCACTTACTTCATAGGGGCCAAGTGCTTTTCCATTTTTTTGCCATTTGTATTGAACGTGTAACCTCACTTTCTGTTATAGACGGACCTGATATAGCAATCAGTGTATAGTGTTCTACTCTCTTATCTTCAAATAATTCAGAAATGTAGTGTTTCCATTCTTTTAACTGTTCATTGATGTTCAACTAATATTCTCTGTCCGTGTCTGTCTTCTAAACTTTGGGATACTTATTTCCGTTTGTTTTCAGCTATCTCTTTTAATTTCTTGTGCACATGATATGTATCGTGTTTCTTTTCATATTGTTCAATTTCTTACATTCTTTACTAAGAAATTGTGTTTTCGCGTGTCTTAACTTCTGCCTGATTATTGCGTGGATCCTCTTGTATTCATTTTTATCTTTATTTCTGACTTCACTTCTTTGATTCATAAGTTTCAGTATTTCTTCTGTCGTCCACCCTTGTTTTTTACTTGGTTTTAGCGCACTCAATGTTTCTTGAACAGTCTTTAAGATGCCTTTAATTCTCATCCAGTTTTCCTCAGTACTTTCCTCTTTGCTTGATGTGAACTTCATTTTTTGTTCGAATATACTAATTATTTCTTGTTTTACAGTATCATTTAACATCTTTTCTCTATCAATAGTAACTGTTTGCTTATTCGTCCTTGCAACTCTTTTTAATCTCAGTATTATTTTTCCTACTAAAAAGCAGCACATCTGCGCCTGGATATGTTTTTACTGCTAATACTGAATTTCTGTATCTCTTATTTATACATATGAAGTCTATTTCTTTACAAACAACTCGTTCAGGTGTATCTGCTGGTGATTTCCAGGTGTAAAGACGACGTTTTGGATGTTTGAAAACTGTGTTTGTTATTACTAATTGCTTTTCTACGCAAAAAGATACCAACATATTTCCTCTTTCATTTCGTATTCCCAGACCCATATTTTCCTATGATATCTTCCTGTTCACCTTCACCAATCTTTGCATTAAAATCTCCCATGATAATATTGAGATCGTGTTTCTTTGTAGATGCTAATACTTTTTCTAAATCATGATAAAATTTTTCAATTTCTTCTTGTTCTTCTTCAAGAAGGTTATAGATATATATATATAATATCGATATAATATAATAGACTATGTATATGGATATAATATAAAATATAATGTATATCCTTTTGTTCTTATGCATGCCTCAACCCGCTGGACTACATCGTTTACATGGTAATTTTGTATGTTAACACTATCAATAAAATCAGATTATACACAAACAACCTCCCAAAATATCGAGTATAAATGTTGTTGTGACGTTTTCCGTAAATGTTTGGATTGTTTGATATAACACAGACTTTTACCGAGCGTATTTTAAAATAAAATCGATTATTTTCCACTTAGAAAGCATCCAACAGTCGGCGATATGTCCTAGACGAGAGAGAAGAGAATCCAGAGATTTATAGTGGGCCGTAAAAGTTGTGTTTGTTTCCATGGAAATATGATCACCTCTGCTTACTGGCGTGTTTGTTTATTGTTTGTCGCGTGCGGATGTCAAAGCCTCGTGTTGGACGAGGAAGGTGAGTATTTTTTATTTTATTTATTTTTCGACAAATGAGTATAATTCCAATGTGCGGTAACTCCAAACGCAACATATTTTCAGTAAAAGCAAAAAAGTGTATCTATTATTTCCGAGTACATGTCTAAATGAATTGTAACTATTCCATTAGGGAATGTAATTCTAATTTGTTTATAACCCTGATTTACGTAATTTGATTATCAAAAAAAAGATAAACATTGATTTATATATAAAAAATGGATATAGCGGGTTTTGAAACTAACCAGTGGAGTTAGCGAATTTTGGATATAACTACAGGTGAATTTACCGGCTTTTGTAACGAATTTTTTTTTTGCTCAAATACAGGTTGTCTAAATGAAAAAGTCAGTTACTGAGACTAATATTTATATTTAGATCACAAAATTAAGGCATACAAAACTTTATTAAAACAAAAAAATTTTAACAAATCGTTGATTTTCTACTACTCTTTCACAAACAATATCCTCATTTTCATTCATACTTGTTGCTGTTCCATTAAGGTAGGCCTGTTCAGCATTGTAGCAATAGTTTAAGTCGAATAGTTCACGCCAATTCTCTCCGTAATGCTTCTAATTTGCAGACATCATTAACTTTTTTTTTTTCAAATTAGTTCCCACAAGTAAGTTAATAGGTGATAAGATTTATACATATTTACCCTTTTTGGTAACCCAGTTTTTTATTATTTCTTTCACTCCTGTAATTTTCCTCTCCTTGTACCGGGTGGTCCAATAAGCCGATCTCTCGGCTATATATCAGAAACTGTTAAATAGAAAGTGTTAAATAAGAAAACTAGAAAGAGGCCTAAATTCCGCACAAAGTTGTTCAAGTACTTTTTTTTATTTTTTCAAATAAAGGGTGGGGGAGAGTGGGAAAGTATTTGTGGATAAATACCTATAACTTTGGATTGGATCAACTAATTTTAACAAAATTATTGTCATTAGAAAGAGTATGGATGATTTAATTTATATCTTTTATAAAACAATTGAATTTAGTTTTAATTGTCATGAGTAGAGGGTACTTTAGGGGGAATAGAAAAAATTAAAATTTGTTTTTCTTTAAAATGTTTAATGGAAACACCTATTTATTGTAAAATATAATGGAACTGGATTAAAATTGTAATAAAACGGCGCAAACCGCATGTTGAAAGCTTTTGTAGGACTCGAGATATGAATAAAAACGCATAAACATAAATAAGTATAGTATTGACTCACCCTTTATTATAACTTAAAATTAAGTATGTGAAAGATCATACAAACATCTCGATCATTCAAACTTAATGTCCAATTAAATGTTCAAATTGTTTTCCATCATTGTCCACACAAAGAAGTAATCTTTCGCGCGTAGACATAACAGCTGCTTCAATCTCAGCTGTTGATATACTATTTATTGCGTTTATAATGCGCTGTTTCATCTCGACTCGCGTGGTTGGTCAAGTTTGGTACACTAAGTCCTTTAATCTTCCCCACAGATAAAAGTCCAGATATGTTAAGTCTGGAGATTCCTCTTCCAATCCATTTATTTGGATAACTTGCATACAAATAATCTCGATCTCGTCTGAAAAATTGCGCAGGAAACCCGCCATGTTGTAATATCATATCTCTTCTTGTTTGTAAGGAAATCTCTTTAAATAAAACAGGCAACTAATTTTCCAGAAAATCCAAATATTTTTCGCCATTTAAAGTTATGTCAAAGAAATATGGACCTACGATCTTTCCATAAACTATACCACACCAAACATTAAGAGTCAATCTACCTTGAACCTGCACCTCATGTATCCAATGCAGATTTTCTTTAGCCCAATAATGTATATTATGCAGATTAACACCACCCGCTCTATTAAACGTAGCCTCGTCTGTTCACAAAATCTTTCACATGATACGCGATTGTTCTTCTAGCAGACCTAACATCCAATTGCAGTAATTCAGCCTTACATCAAAATCTCTCTCATGTAAAGCTTGGTGGAGAACTACATGATAAGGATGCAGTATAAAAAACAGAACAACAAATATTGGTGAAAAAGAAACCACTATATTTACTAAAACTCAAAAATCTTGAAAAATCTACAATTGTTTCACAAGATAAATCGTGCATAAGTATTTCCAAGGAATATTAAAATAACAGTTGAATCTAAAGTTTAAAGGAAATTCCAAGTTTCTGACCTAAACGTTCACTTTATAATATGAAAAACCAACCTGTGATGTTTTAAAATCCTTAGAACAGTACTTTTGGGTATGTTTAATTCTATAGAGATTTTCCGACTACTTATATGTGGATTCTGTTGAATTAAAGCAAGAACATTGATTGAGTTATCTTCGGTCATACCTCTACTACATCGTTTAAAACAAGGACGATGAAAAATACCAGTTTCTCTTAATCTTCTTACCTTTCTTTCAAATACTTCTTTGCCATAATGTCTCCTGTCAGGATATCTTACAGAATATATACGTGAGGCAATAGCGGCATTTTGGTGACATTCGAAATAAACTCCAATCATATCATACAATTCTGCATTTGATTACTCATCACGGATTATTAGTACTCATAATTAATTACTAATATTACCAATATTAATATCTATTGAAAAAAGTGCAATCTTCAATTCGGATTATAATTAAACATTTTCGAAAAAACTATTTTTAATCATATAAAATAACAATGGTCAAAATAGGTATCAGCATTAAGATTCTTTTGCTAGAAAAAAATTTGAAAGTACCTACTGACTTATTTTTTAATTTAATTTATAATACAGTGTGAGTCAATACTATACTTACTTATGTTTATGCGTTTTTATTCATATCTCGAGTTCGACAAAAGCTATTAACATGCGGTTTGCGCCATTTTATTGCGATTTTAATCCAGTTCCATTACAGTTTACAATAAATAGGTGTTTCCATTAAACATTTTGAAGAAAAACGAATTTTAATTTTTTCTATTCGATAGTATCCTCTACCTATGACAATTAAAACTAAATGCAATTATTTTATAGTAGATGTAAATTAATTCATCCACACTCTTTCCAATGACACTAATTTCGTTAAAATCGGTTAATCCAATCCAAAGTTATAGGTATTTATCCACAAATACTTCCCTACTCTCCCCCACCCTTTATTTGAAAAAATAAAAAAAAGTAGTCGAACAACTTTGTGAAGAAAAGGCCTCTTTCTAGTTTACTTATTTAACACTTGGTATAATTGGGCATATTTCACAATAAACTGGTTTTCAAATTTTTATTCACAGGTTACGCCCCCTAGCGGTTCACCCAGAAACTTGAAAGTTATTTCCAGCGATTCCTCTTGGTCGCTTTTATCAAGAAATTTTTTCTCCTAAAGTTATAACATGAATAGTTTCTGAGATATAGCCGAGAGATCGGCTTATTGGACCACACGGTACAGCAACATTCGTTTTCCCTTTATATAAAAAAAAATATTTTTGAAATATTGAAACCAACATGCCAATTTCTTGGAGGTTTAAATACAGAATTGACTGCGTTTTTCCAGTCTAAAACTGGTACTTCCTGTGAGAGATGGAATGTTTGTTCATGCTGACTTAAAATTTTCACATATTCCTCTGGCTTCATGATGACTTCTCTTCTTCAAATCTCTTTTTCTATTTTAGCAAACATTCTGTCTGCCGGAAGAAAAGAATGACCGACTAATGGAGATATAATCTCAATTTTTTTTAATTGAACTGGTGAAAATAAATAAAGCCACTTGCAACACATACCAATCAAAATTGTGTTTTTGTTTTGGCCAACACAGCCGTCTGCAAATAACCTCAATATTGTTACGTGTTCTGGTATGTTTAGGGTCTTCAAAGTATGGTAAACCGCACTTGCGATTTCATTTTACATTTTGGGCCTCTCTGTTTCATACCAATAGTAACACAAAACATTTTCAGTACTCAGCTTATTTTCATAGCATACATCAGTTCGAGGGCTTCCAAAACCAATATTATAATTAATGTTCAATTCCTTCCTGAAAAATGATTGCTTCACTTTATTTTCCAGAGATGTGCTACTGTTATACATATAGAGATTTAATCTCTAAATAGACTTTGTTGTACAGTTTTTAAGTTACGAAAAAAAAAATAATGAGTTTGACGTTTTGATTGTTTATTTAAACATATTTGCAGTAAAAATTTGATGAATCCCTAGATGAGAGTCTTTTTGTAACCTATAACTTAATTAGACAATTAATTATTTAAATAATCCATCCCGGAATATTTTTCACTCGACAGTTATGACTGGGCCCAAGCAAAAATATAAAGCAATTCGAGCCACGAGTAGTAAGAATCAGATCGTAAACAAGACGATAATCAGTTTCTAAAACATGCTTCTTCAAATACCTTTTTATTATCTACATATAAACCGAGATAACCTTTATCTGTATTATAATTTCAACCGTTAGCCAACAGCTTATAGAAACGTTGCTAAGGGTGATCTAAAAATGGCAAAATCAATATATTGAAATTTATGTTATCTGTATTTGTATCTAAAATTATGTATGTATTTTTGTTGATTGAGTGCAAAGATAAGAGATAGGTATATGCAGACTTTAAGTGGAACAAAATATCAGAATTTAGCATTGACTGTGATTTTATAAAAACTGATATGAAGATTATAAACAAATGTTTAATAATAGTAGCAAGAAAGAGTAAAAGAAAAGATCTACTGTGAGTAAAAAAAATATCTGATCTTTAGATATTTGGGGTACCTAAATCTGTTGCTAAAATGTCATCTCTCCACTGCATCCTTGGTCTTTCAAGCGGCCATTTTTCTTTAAAGGGTATCTTTCCACACCAACGTGTGGTCCAACCAATCTCAATTTGTCCTATTTTATTAGTTATATTATTTCTGGCTGATTATAGTACTGATTGCTTCCCTGTATTCTGTTGTTAATCTTTTAAGTAATGTTCTTGTCAGAGGTAATTGTAGCTTCAGAAAATTTAAATTGATAAACCCTTTGGTCCATTGTCATTTTCTGTCCTAATTTGTCTCTTCGTTCTGTCTATTTTAGCAGTACATTTTGTTTTTTATTTAATTTTAAATGAATGTGAGTAATTGAATTATTCAATTCAATTATTTCCCATACTTCTTCTTCTTCTTCTTCTACGGCACTAGAGCCCAAATTGAGCCTTGGTCTTCTTTATTTTTTGCCTCCACCCTCGCTTATCTGCGGCTGATCTTCTTCATAGACGGACTCCTAAAAGGGATTGTGCGTCGCTGTTCACTGTGTCTTCCCAACGCTTTCTTGGCTTTCCAACCGGTCTCTTTCCCTGATTTCTAGCATTCAGTGCTCTTTTTGGTAGCCTATCCTCTCCCATTCTTATCACATATTCGACCCATTGCAATCTTTGTATTCTAATGAAGTCTGACAGTAGTGCTTCCTTATAAAGTTGGTAAAGCTCGTTGTATCAATTCTGAAGATTCCGTTTTCCCTCACAGGTCCTAGTATTCTCCTTAATACTTTCAATGCGAATATGTCGAGTTTGCTTTTGGGTGTTTCTTTCAGGAATCCTGCTTTCAGGGCCATATGTCTTTGATGAGCACGTGGATGGGACTTGCTAGGTGGTCGCCACATACCTTATACAATTCTGCTGGTATTTCGTCAACTCCCGGGGCTTTATTATTTTTTTAATACCTTCAAGAACTTCCTCTATGGTTGGAGCTTCTTCTCCATTCTCTACTTCATTATCCTCTACATAGTTCGTACTCATTTTATCTTCCACGTCTATTTGTGTACCAAGTAGGATCTGAAAATAATGCTTCCAAGTTTCTGTGACTTTCTGTTGATCATTGATTATTTACCCAGTTTCATCTTTACATAGACTTGTTTGAGGTTTATACCCACTTGTTATTTTTTAGGTATTCGTAAGACCCTCTAATTTCGTTGTTTTAGAAGTTTTCTTCCATTGTTTCTATTTTGTCGATTTTCATAAGCTCTTTTTTATTTCTACATATCTTGTCTGCTTTCCGTCTTGTGACTTCTTGTGGTATACATTTTGTGTGCTTCATTTCTTTCCTCTATTGCTTGTCTGCACTCGTCATAGAACCATGCTCTTCTTCTTGCATTTTTCTTGTTTCCCATGGTGGACTCTGCTGCTGTCAGTATTGCTGTTTTGATATTATTCCATTTGCCCTCTATGAAGTGCAGTTCTAGCGTCCTTAACTCATTTGCGATTACTTCTTCGAACTTTTCTTTACATTCCTGAATCTTTAGTTTTCCAGGTCCAGATTGTTTGTTCTTTGTTGTCTTTCGTTTCTTTCTTTGTTAACTCTGCATCTAAATTTGGTTTGGAGTAAAAGATGGTCTGATCCACAGCATGTTCCTTGTCGTGTTCTCACATCTGAGATACTACTGGCTGCTCTTTTATCAATAAGTACATGGTCGATTTGATTGGTTGTATCCATGTCATTGTGTATGTCTTTATGTGGGAAGCATGTGGAACTTTCATCCATGTTTTTACTGGTTGCACAATTTATCAAAAACTCCCCATTCCCGCTTGTTTCATTGTGCAGTGGGTGTTTTCCTGTTGTGCCATAGGCTTCTTGCCTATTTTAACATTCATATGACCCGTTATAATCTTGATGTCATTTTTGGGCGCATTGCTATATATTATTTCCAGCTGTTGGTAGAAGCTTTCCATTGTATGTTGTTCTTGTTCTTCTGTTGGGCAGTGAATGTTTATTATTGTTAGGTTGAAAAAGTGGGTGCAAATTCTTAACTTCCATATCCTTTTACTGACTGCCTGGGAGTCTATGATTTTTGACTTAAAATCACTATCCACCACAAATGCAATTCCATATTCTTTGCTTCCTTGTTCCTTTCCACTATATAGAATTGTGTGCGTTTAAGTGTCCCTGGCATCTTTCCCCAGCAATTTTCCATACCACGTCAGCATTATTTTGATTTCCTACGGGTTCTAACGTAGTCTACGTAGTCTTCAGTTATTTTTTGGGTCCTTTAGACCCTCAATGATTTACATCCTAATCTGTTCTGGCTCGGTATTCTTTTATTTAGAAATTCTTTGTTTGAATTTGGCTCTAATCAGAAAATGTTAATTGTCCAGACCCCGCAGACTTCTAACATCGATAATGCTACTACTACGTCTTGCATTAATCAAACTTGATCAATCGGATATCTCGTTTGTAATGTTGCAAAATTCACTAGACTAGGTCCATGATCATTTCAGTGTTTGTATAGGTGTGTTTTTTTTTCGATGTTGGATCTAAACGCTTCTTTTCTTCCTATTTTATCCCATGTCATCCCATAGAAAGTATCACATCTTGTCTAGGCAAAACTATAGCTATCTAGTCTTCAACTAGTAATACACGACATTTTACGCATAAAACATAACTGGATGTATAATTATGTTACATTGAATTGTTATATAAATATGTACATATACGAAAAAGTTAAAAAAATTTTCATATTTACATAGATTTATCCAACGACTATCCTATTGACGAACTGCAGCATCAAACCAAAACAATTAGAGTGTTGAATGGAACTCCTTTAACCTTAAAATGTCACCAAGAAAAGGCAAGATGGTATTTTAAGGTAAGTTTGTATATTAATTTTTTAATCTGTTGTATTTGATGAAAGTTAGAAACTCAAGTAGAAGATACTTAAATATGTCGCGTAAGAGCCATATTATTCCGACCACTATTTACTAGTTGGAACTGGAAGCAGACGAAGAGCTGAATACCACTCCCATTTGCTCCCTCTTCTATCTTTTCTCCTTTATAAGGATGAAGTGGCATCATATAATTTCTTTGACTATTTCTGTCCAATTATCAATTAGTATTGAGAATGAGTAACCAGTCATGTCCTCTATTTGGTTCGACCATCGTACTGGGGATCTTCCTTTGGATCTTTTACCCGCTAGGTTACCTTCAACTATCATTCGCTCCATGCCTTCTCTTCTTCTAGTTATATGTCCAATATATCTCAGTATGTTTTGGTTGATAGTTGTGATGGGTCTAGTTTTTATGTTAATTTCTGTAGAATGAAGTTATTCGTGCATTGTGCGGTCCATGGTATGCGCAACATTCTACACTAGACCCACATTTCAAATTCCATTATAGGCTTTGAATAACTTTCTGTAATAACAAAGCCTAAGTAATTATATAACAATAAAACACTGAAAACAAAGTTTTCAGTGTTTTATTGTTACATAAAATGAATTTCCATCAAGTAAAGGTCGAATCCATCAATTACTTAAGTAATTAAATTGCCTGACCACTTCGTAACCTGCTATGTTTCTTATCTCTGTTTGGTTGTTTCTGATTCTATCGATGATTATCAGTTTTCAGAAAAACCTTCGTTTTCTTTTTCATGCCGTCTCTCTGACTTGTTTTAAACTTTTTCTTAGTCACCTCCCTTGTGGACTTGGACGTAATGTGTCGTTCTACTGTTTGTACATTTAATTTTGTTGCTGTTTTGCTGGTCTAATGCTTCATTGTGAGGTGAAGAAGTTATTACCTTTGATTTCGATGATTTTCTACCACGGTTGGTAGATTTTTTCCTGATCGACGGCATTGGCGATATTTCAAAAGGACTTACAAACTTCTGCAAACCAGAATGACCTGCTTCACTCATGTTGCTGGCTTCTCGTGTTTTTGGTACAATAGCAGGTTAAATAGATTGCGGTTCTATATTCCCGTGGTTATTACTCTCAATTTCTGCTGCAATAAAATATGCATCTGAGAACACAGTCTTATTCAATGGATAAATTCCAGTGACGCGGAATCCATTTACAGCAATTTCTTCAGTTTGGCTTTTAAGATTTGTTTTGCCAAAAAGTTCTCCAATATCGTACTGAGAGAGGGCGCGGTTATTATGACGTAACCATTGCCTGATTTCTTCGGTATAGTATGCCTTGAGTGTTCCCATGAAAGTTTTGTCTAGCGGTTGCAGTTTGTGTGTTGAATGTGGAAGTCTTGAAATTATAACTATGTTATTCTCCCTTGCCAGATTGACCACATCTAAATTACGATATGGCTGAAGTGTCTATCCAATATAAGAAGTACATGAAAATCTTTAGAGGGTTTAACGGTATCTATGAAGTATTTAAACCACTGTGTAAATAAATTAGACTGCCTCCAACCACTATCAACCATGTTCTATCTTGGGAAGAATAACATGGGTAGGATAAAATTCTCTCCATCACGATTTGTCTCTTTCCTTTGCGCCCCACTATTGCTGCAATTTTATTTTGCACAATGGTTAGGCTTGTATTTATCATATGCTTTTTCTAGATCTAGATGGTCAAAAATATTGAACATTATTTTTGTGAAAGCTAGCTGTCCGTCCAAAAGACGTTTCAGTTGGGCTCCTTAAATCCAATGTATTTTTATGACGCGCCAAGAACAAATCTAGCCAACTTCTATCAGCTTTTTTAACTACATAAAGGGATGATTTAATCCATTTGATTGAGACAGATTATATGCCATTCGTTTGATATTAGTCCGCGTTAATCCATAGAATTTCGCTTCCATTTAAAGGATATAGCCACCAAACATTTTTCTAAATCTCTGCCAAGAACAGTTCCTCTTCCCAGTTTCTTAAGTACTGCTTCATCTGGACTCAGTTCAGTTATTTTTGCTAACCGTTGTACTGTCAATCTCGGGGGATTATAAGTTTTAGCCGCTTTTAATGTACACATCGTTTTATCTCTCACAGCTTGAATAGCAGATTTCATGCTATCTGGATCCCATGACTTTCGTTGTTTTGGACTAACAATACTTTTTCTAGCCATTCTGAAAAGAAAAAAACCCTGTAGAGTTAGACTAAACTGATACAAATGTGGGCTAGCTCATATTTGTAGCACCACGCTAGCCCATATTGCAACATAACTAAACATATATTCAAATATTAATGCAACACCAATTAAAAGAAAAAGTCGAAAATATTATGAAAATATCAGCCTTTCGCTTACGATGTGTGATAAAATATTAAAGTTATTCTTAGTTTTCAACGAAAAAAAATTGAAACAAAAATATACCTGAAATTTCTTGAACAGCGTCAACACTAACATGTGATTGTTTCAACGGTCACTGGACCTAGGTCACTGTAAGCTTTATTAGTTATTATTTTAGACTAAAGAGTGTCTAGTCAAGCTATTGACGTATAGATGGTGGTGTGTATTTCATATTAATGGACCGCAGGAGTGTGACGTCACGACTGTCACATTGACATTATTACTTTCCAAACAAAAGTTGAAATGTCAAATCTCAAGACTTTTTAATTTCTATAAAGTTAACATTTTGCTTCCTCTGCTGCTTTTTCTTGTAAGCATAGTGTTTTTTACGATAATACCATCATAATTCAGAGTTCTATTTCTATAAAATATAGTTTAAAAGTTTAAATAAAGAAATTGTAACCTTACTTTATTGATACATGCATTTTATTGCTATTCGCATAAAATAATGTGCTTTATTATTTACACAACCTTGTAAAAAAAAACCCCCTCTGTGGCGCAGTGGTAAGAGCGCCTGCCTTTAAACCTAAAGGTCGTGAGTTCGAATCCCACCTGGGTGGAAATTTTCGTTTATTAAAAAAAATTAATAAATGAAAATAATTTCTATCCTTGTGTGATCGGTACACACCGGAGGGACCGCAGACGTTCGGATACAATTAGCGTCTCTTAGCAAAGACAATGACGTCGACTTTGCTAAGTATCTATCAAGAAAATTACTCTACACACACACACACACACACTACACCTCAAATTGTAAGATTGGCGAATGGATTTAGTGTCCGCAGTCATTTAAACACAAACAAACAACAACAACAACCTTGTAAAATTGTTGTGGTAACTATTAGAATACTTAAATATTGCGATAAGCGGAAAGATTCTATAAAATAAATGAAAAAATAACGAAAAATACAAATTATCCACACTAAACCAGGTTTGTTTGGAAAGTGAAACTGACGTATGTCAGTAAAATCTACGTCATCACTACTGTGCTCCATTCATCGAGCAAAAAGACAAAAAAGGGAATGTAATCCTTATGAAAAGGAGACCAAAAAAGTGGCCTCTGATGGCGGACATATCCGGAAATGCGAATGCGCCAAATTTAAATTTTCCTACACTTATTAACAGTAGCTATATAATATTTTTCAGAATGTGTCTTAGACGAGAAAGTTTTAATTAATTATTAACGGTAATAGTCTAAAATGTGACACAATTTTTAAAAAACTTCAATATAAATAAGATTTCATGTGACATTTGGGACAAACAATAACATAACCCAACTAAATTTGATGTCAAACAAGGAGAGAGACTTTCTTTCCTTGTTTAATGTGGCCTCTAAAGATCGCACTTCCTGTCTAACAATATTTTTGCCCCACTACCTTTACATTCCCTCTTTTGTCTTTTTGCTCGATGCGATGGCTCCATTGCGATAGCTCATATTGTCTATTCGCTTAGCTAGGGCATATTTTGACAGACTCATTGTAGGAAACCTACAACACAACAATTCCTACTTCTCAGTATTAATAGCTCAAGTATACTATTATTGCAGACTTCTTTCTTAGAAAAAAAGAAGAATTATTCTAAATAGTGGAAGTGTATACTAAACCCATCAAATTTTCCCTGTATATTTAAAATATAATATTTGAATTGTTACAATTTAAAATATTGTAGTAAATATTTGTATTATTCGCGTTGTTTATTTAATCTAATATAGTTTTATTGTTTTATTATCTTTGTTTAATTATTTTGTTAGTTCTATTCAGTTAATTAGTTAGTTATATTTTAAATTTTATTATTATGGATATTCAAAGTTTTCCATTTGTTCCATCAGCTAATGCGTTGGTAAGTTTTTCTTAATAAATATGATAAAATGTTTTTTAAAAGTTAATATTTTTAGATTAGTTATTTCTAATTTAATATAAACTTGTTTATACCTACATGGAGGTTTTTGTTGTTTGTTTGGGTTTATATGACTGCAGCCTGCGGCCAGGTCACTGAATTCATTCACCATATGTGGAAGATTTTAACATCCTCAAATATGCTAATGAGCAAAAATTACTATTGAACCACGAATTTGCCTAGTCAAATTACTAATATTTGCTTTTAGCATATGGAAGTACACTTATTTTGTAAGATAATAAAACAACAGTTTATGTTAATGCTATTCAATGAACTGTTAATCTTTAATCATTGATTCCATCCTAGTCACAACATAAGGAACTTGCTGTGTCTTATTTAACCTCACTTTGACTTTTTAATTTTGTAGAATTTATTCCCACTTTTTTTATTTTGTACAATAAATAATTTTATTATTTGTTATCAATACATTATACGGTGTAAATAAATAAATATTGATTGTCGGTAAAGTTCTATTTTATTTACTTTTGTTTACATTAATATTGACTAAGAGTACGTATGCTTGGTTGTATAGTAATTTCCAGCCACTTCGAGTCTGTCAAAAAGTAACTAACTTCGCAAAAAAATAATTACTAAAATCACTAGACAGTTCGGACTGGGAATAGCGAACCGGGTATATTAGTCGTATAGCCCATATTAGTAGCATAGCCCATATTTGTACCTTCTCATCTAAAAAATTAAAAGAATATCTGTCACTAAAATATTTGATATTAACCCAATCATGAACCGTTTAGGAATATAATATGTTCTATTAATATTCTATTTCTATAGAAAGTTCAATTTTAGCTTTGGAATAAATTTGATCGCCCACTGTACCATAAACCTATTAATATGAAGGCAAAGAATTTCAAACACTTCACCTAAAGTTTAAACTTGCAGAGTACATGTCTGGTTAATTTAACGTTGTCGGAAAAGGTATACTAATTAATCTAATTAATTAATGTTTGTATTTACAGAATACTGTCGTTAATATAACAAACAAGCTACAAATGTATCCGCAACTAGAAACACATGGTTTCTTTGAGCAAATACACTTGTGTTTTGGATTTAAATTAAAGATCAATAAACACACGTATCTAATGCATTTTTAAATATTATCTACAATGCCGCCGGTTTACAATACTTTTGATGATACCGTTCAGTTGTAAAATGACATTATAATAATACAATTAATAGCTCAATTAAGCAATGGAATATTACAATAGTTTAAACAAATGTAATTGCGTAGTGTTTTTACACACTTTATCAATACAATCATTAGCAAACATAAAAACGATTGAATGGAAATATGCTTAACACGTTGAATGCCAATCTAATTCATGAAGGTTTTCACCAAGATCCATTTACTTTTCTTGGTATATAAACGTTTCATATTTATTTTTAATTTGTAAATATACGAATAAACTTAGTATTTTTAAATTAATTGCATATGTTTTCAACTAGAGTTAAGGTGTAAACGCACTAGAGCGTCACTGGCTCCTGGTTCTGGCTCTAGAGGATGGAAAGATCAATGCTCGGGGTGAGACTTATAGACAAAAAAACAAATGGATTAGAAGCAAAACCAAAGTAAAAGACGCAGGAGAATAGGCTGCCAAATTAAAATGGAGCTTCGCAGGACATAATGCCCAACTGAAGGATAGAAAATGGAACCACGAAATACAACAATAGAGACCATGGTTAGGAAAGAGAAGCAGAGAAAGACTACAAATGAGATGGGCTGATGACATTAAGAAGATCGGAGGACACAATTGAAAGCAAGTGGCGTAAAATAGAAAACACTGGATTGATTTGGGGGTGGCCTATGTCCAAAGTTGAATTATTAAGGCTGAAGAAGAAGATAGTTGGAACGCACTCTTTTTCACAATGTGTAACTTCTAGTCTACTTACTTTTAAAAGGGATATGACAACTTACAAACGAAATTTTTACAGTTTAAGCTTTTTACAAACGCAACTAAATATGCCAACCAATATTCGTTTTTGGCCACGGACAATTTTCTCTCCTTTCGCAAGATTTTCTGTTAGCTCACACTTCCAGTCTACTCGTACGCTTCTTCAAGTCTTTTCTGCAAAAACTTCAATGATACACTACAATCTTCCGTCTCATGAAAATGGTGAATTGTATTTTAAATGTGGTATTACAGGAGGATGCTTAGAATAGCATGGACACAGAAGAAAACTAACACGGAAGTATTGCGAGAAATGGGCAAAGAATGCGAAATAATAAACACAATAAAAATAAGAAAGTTATAATATCTGGGACACTTAATGAGGGGACAGCGATATGAACTGCTAAGGCTGATCATACAGGGAAAGACAAGAGGAGGAAAGAGTATAGGAAGAAAGAGAGTGTCATGGTTGAAGAATTTAAGGGACTGGTTTAAATGCAGTTCTATAGAACTCTTTAGAGCAGCAGTATATAAAGTAAAGATAGTGATGATGATATCCAACCTACGATTGGGAGACGGCACTTAAAGAAGTATTTTAAATGTTGTTTAAAATTTGTTCGATTATCTTCAGGAAACAGTGTTTGTATATATTTAAAATATTTGTAAACTATCCTTTTGATTCCAGTGTCAATCTGATCTGGTTACTTGATCTCCATTCTATAAAATAATTTCTAATACCCGTTTTCACTTTTCGTTATGATACTGAATTACAAACTTGTTTTAAATCCTCTTCTTCTTCCTATGCCGTCCCCATTAACGGAGGTTGGCGACCACATTTTTAAAAGCTTCTCTGTCATTTGCAACGTCTAATAATTCGTCTACAGTCATGTTTGTCCAGTCTCGAATATTTCGCAGCCATGACTTCCTCTTTCTACCTATTCCCTTTTTGCCATCGACTCTACCCTGCATGATGACCTGCAGAAGACTATATCTATTATTTCTTAGTATGTGTCCAAGGTATGCAGTCTTGCGTACTTTTATCGTTCTCAACAATTTTTTGACTCGACCCATTCTTCTCAGCACTTCCTCATTGGTGACCCTGGCAGTCCATGGGATTCTCAACATTCTCCGGTATATCCAAAGTTCAAAGGCTTCAATCTTTTTAACTATTTGCGCTTTTAGTGTCCATGTTTCTACCCCGTACAATAATTGCGACCAGACGTAACATTCAACAAACCTCAGTCTCAGCGCAATATTCAGATTTTTGTCACAGAACAATTGTTTGAATTCTAAGAACGCTGCCCTTGCCATTTCTATTCGTACCCGGATCTCTTGGTCTGGATCTAATTCTGTGTTGATGTAAGCTCCCAGATATTTATATTTTGTCACTCTCTCTATTTGCTGTCCACCAAGAGTAAGTTCATTATTTATTGGACTCCTTGATACTATCGTAAATTTGGTCTTATCTGTGTTGATGTCAAGTCCCATTTGAATGCATTCACTATTTATTGCATCTAGTAAAGTTTGTAGATCTTCTATACTCTCAGCCATAATTACCGTGTCATCTGCAAATATCATGGTGTTTATGATTTCTCCACCAATTCTTATTCCCTCTTTTCTTTCCCATAAGGCTTTTCTGAATATGACCTGTGAGTACACGTTGAAAAGCGTCGGAGACAAGACACATCCTTGCCTAACCCCTCTCGCAATCGGTATATTATTATTATTTTAAATCCAGTGGTTAGAAATTCTCGAAAATAATTCTTATCAGATTTTTGTATGTCCCTAATAACTATATAATTACGGTTTAAAAGAAAAAACCATCATCATAAAACCAATTTCGCTTATCGTTTAATGGAGTAAAACAATATTTGCTGTTTCAAATATACAATCTTCTCAAATTTTTGAATACTGCAACGCCACTACATAGATCTTTGTATTGTCTAAGTGATGAAATATGTTACGGAACTGTTAGCTACTGCATTTGGAACCAGCCACCAGCTATTGTAGATGGTACAACATCAAAAAAAGAGTCAAATGACAGATGCAGTCAAGTGGTATGCGATAATACCAGAGTTGATTAAGATATGCAGATTTATTGGCTTCGGCAGTCCTGTAAAAAGGTTCTTAAATTTATGTTTTTTTATAATAGGTATAAGGATCGACCCCAACCATAGTATATTTTTGATCTAAACTATGTTTAGATTAGTTCTTTTCAGGTAAATTCATTGTAAAATTTGGTTAGAATACATTTAAATTCGTCTTAATATAATATATTATTAGGATTAATTTTTTTATAATAACTGATCTAAATAAATTTATTTTAGCCCTGCGATTCGAATTTCTATGGAATAGTATGTAATGAGAACCGCCACTGGAAAAAGCTGACCGATGAAACTAAAGGAAGAATACACTTTGAGGCTGCCAAAAAAGTTCATAACGGAATTTACCGATGTTCACAGAACAATATACCGATAAAGTTATTTATTGTTGATGTTTTTGGTAAGTGTTTTTTGAACTCTTAAAATTAAATTGACAATTTGTCTACTGTTCTGTTTATTAGTGTGATGGATAGATATCTTAGATACCTGGAAATTATACTGTCTAGCTATGGAGACCTGGACAAAGAAATGAGAGATCAAGTACAAAAAGCAAATAGACTGGCAGGATGTCTTAATAACACTATATGGCCAAACAGACACATTAACACTGAGATGAAGTCAAGGATTTATAAAGCCAATGTAAGACCAATAATGACATATGCCTCAAAATCAAGACTCTACACAGTCAAAACGCAAAGGTTACTGGAAACGGCAGAGATAAGAGTACTAAGAAGAATTACAGGAAATACGCTGACAGATCGAAAGATAAGTGAAGACATTAAAAGAAAATGTAACGTACAGTATATAAATGAATGGATACAAAATAGAAAAAAAGAATGGAATAACCACAACCTTCTATATAGGTATTAATCTGCCAATGAACAAGCAGAATTGCTATAAAGGGGACCAAGAAGACTTCGGAATAAAATCGGCAGTCATCTGTTTAGGCAGCACCTGGAGAAAGCCGTCCAAAGCAACCAAAAACGCAGTAAACCGTCGGGAGGGTTATGACCTCTGTATTTTGAGATCATAAATTGCTCCCGCATCCACTGTATAGTGCAGATCTGGCCCCCAGCGAGTATTGATTTTTGTCCGATAAAAAAAAATCATCCGTGGCAAGATATATCGCTTTGATGAGGAAATAATTGCCGAAATTAAAGATAAATTATTTTAAAAAGTATTAATGGACTGAGTGGTTAATCATTAAAAGAAGACACGGAATACCAAGTTCAAGGAGATATCAATATAGAGAAGATCTATGTAATTTGAAAGTCACGGACTGGACAGAGAGAGAGAGAGAGAGAGAGAGAGAGAGAGAGAGAGAGAGAGAGAGAGAGAGAGAGAGAAGAGAGAGAGTGAGAGAGAGAGTTTTATATAGTAAAATGAAGGAAACTATTAAAGAGATAAGCTTTTCATATGAAAAATAGTGTGGAAACATCATGTATTAAGTATATAGATCTTTTGAGCATGGTTTTATTTTCATTTGTATTTGAAGGATTCAGGGAATAAAGGCGCAATGTCAACTTTTACAAAAATCGAGATTTAAATGCCTCCTATGCCTTAAATGCTCCTAATAAAAATATTATTAAAGGCTCAAATCAATACCTTCCGTCAGGGAATAAAAGCGTTAGGTCAGTAGAAAATTGGAAGTAAATATTTGGTAGTCTGGGGATAAAGGCGTATAGTCCATGCGTTCTAGGAATGAAAGCGCATTGTCACTTTCGTGTGGCGCCACTGTGACTACAACTTGTCTTTTCTTGAGCTGAACAAGAAAACACAAAAAAAAAACGGAAAAAACTGGGCGGATGTCGATGAATGAGGTTCGTAAAAGGCTACCACTACAGAGTAACGTAACAGGACCAGACTGTAAGTGCAAAAGATATCGTTGCTTTGAAATTGTATCACCTGACGCTAGACAGTCAAAAATACGTAGTTTTAATTTACTTAACTCAGAGGATGCACAGAATTTATACCTATGTGGTCTTATTATAGTTTTACAAATTAAACAACGGAGGTCAAGAAAAGATTTGACCGACTCAGAAAAATTACATGATTCAACATAATATGTTTACATTTTATGTTCGATTTAAAAATGCCGACTAAGTTACTACTGACATACCTATCTGCGCTAAAGCATTTCTGTCTATTTATGGAATCGGAAGGAAAAAATTAGAACGATCTTTCAAATTAACTGGAGATGCACAAGAGAGGTAAACACGCTAATCGCCCTCAAAAGCTATCGGAGGCTGTTACTGCTGCTGTGATGGAACACATATCTTCCTTTAAATGCAGAGAAACGCATTATAGCTTAAAGGATTCTTCTTAAGTGTACCTATCTAAGAAATTAAACGTTAAAAAATGTTACAGATGTACATGGAAATGTACAAAGAGGCCCCCATTTCTTACGAATCTTACAGAACTTTATTTACGAATAAGTTTAATATTTCATTCTGGTACCCCAAACAAATAGTTGCAGTACGTGTGCTGAACACGTTGCAAAACTAAAATCACTCGAGAAATAAAAAGCCAACTTGCCCCCCTCACTGCAAGCGGATCAATTCTTGTTCTGGAAAAACAGGTGAAAAACCTTTACACTGCAAGCAAACTTCATAAAATGAAAGCAGAAGCCTTTTACAAGAAAAAACGGCAAATGAAAAGGATATGCAAAACCAATGAAAACATCGAAAGTATTTGCATTGACTACCAAAAAAACTTGCCAGTGCCTAACATTTCAACAAATGATGTCTATTACAAAAGACAATTATCTATATTTACGTTCAACATACACGTACTAGCCTCTAATAAAAGTGTTTTTATACATACCCACAGACAATATGGAAAAAAGACGCAGACGATGTGTCTTCTCTTCTTCACCATTTCGTCCATAATTTCCTTGATCCTTCACTTGAAGAGTTTTTTATATTTGCAGATTCTTGTGGGAGCCAAAATAAAAACTATACAGTTGCAAGATTTCTGTATCATCTTGTTCACATAGAGAAGAGACTTAAGGTCATACATATGATTTTTTCAATGAGAGGGCATTCATACATGGAAACAGATAACAATATGGGGATTATAAATAAAAAACAAGAGTTGAATTGCCGGAGGAATGGGCTGAAGTTTTCCGGAATTAAAGAAAAAAACCGTTTTCTTTTGATGTGATTAAACTTGACCAAAATATGCTTAAATCCTGGACTGAGTATTTTGATAATAAATTCTTTAAAAACTGTTCATTTCAAACAGGACCTATCAAAGTTTTGAAAATTGAACAAAAATCTCCCCATTTGATTTTTCATCGTCCAACATACTATGGAAATTTCGTTTCAAATACAGTGATTCCAAAGGGCAAAAAAAACCAATGACACTCTAGTTACCTTTAGCATCTCATCAGCAGCTGCCACCTCTTTCTAGAGAAAAATTTGATGTAGTGTCTTTTAGTGCATTTTGTTCCAAAGAAGCTCAGCATTACTTTGAATCTTTACCACATCAGTAAATACGTATTCTTTTTAAGTATATTGTTTTTTAATTATAATTAAAGATAATAAAGGCCTCGTTTAACTTATTTTTGTGCGCTAGCAGTAACAATCTTTTTTTTGTTTTTAATTTAAAATATTTTTTATTAAATTAATATAATTAACACTTACACTGTTAGATAACATGTTTTACTAAATTGTTTAGCAACCTGTTAAAAAAAGGAGTTTAGGATCATACAAGTTAAATATTACAAAATAAAAAAAAGAAAATGTAGTTTTCTTAAAAATGTACTAATAGTGACATTGCGCCGTTATTCCCTGCACCCTTAATTTGTAATCATGTATTTCTGGTCAATGGAAATGTCAAAACAAGTGTAAAATAATTTTCATTACAATCAATTGTGGTTTAATCCGATATCAAATTATATCTAATTCTATGTACTAACTTTGAAATAAAAATACTTTTCAGATCCTGGCTATACTGGTGCACCTCCCCAAGTCTACCCCCTGAAAATATCCAACATAACAGGACCAATAAACATGGAGTTTACAATCCAGTGCAAAGTAACCAGCGAAGTACCTCCCAAAATCATCTGGTTCAAGAGCTGTTTCGGACAAAAGTGCGACTTCAGATATCACCAAACGTGCTACTGTCACATCAACACATCGATCTCTAACTACAACACAGGAAACACCTACCTCAGTAAATACCTCATTTTCAACGCAAGAGATGTAGATAGCGGCACCTACGTTTGTTTAGCACTTACGCAGTTCGGGAAGGACGACCAAAACGTGACTATAAATGTGCCGTGTAAAAAATCGGATAGTGAATTATATTCCTTGTTATTTTTAATACCGTTCGGGCTGTTGTTGATACCTCTAGTTGTGTGGTTATGTTATTATAGGAAGAAGAAGAAATCTACTATCATAATCGTCGATCAACAGAAAAAGCTACTTAGGACTATAACACAACCGAAAGAAATCATATAGTCAATTGTCTAAGATTAAATATAATACATAAATTCATATATAGGTACAATCAAGAGTCCTATGTAATACAGTATCCCGAGAGGTTACGTTGTATGATTGGTCGAAATTTACTTTGAACAAAACGGAATTCAAGACAAGTTTAGTTCATCATCGGCCCCCTCGTCAAACTGAATTTTTCTTTTTTTCTATCTTATTTCTTTATATGTTTCATTTGGGAATAATTTTTTGGCTTCCTCTTCATAAATGACAAAATTATTTTTGATTGAGGTAAAGTAATTTGAAAGAAAAATATAATAGGGGAAGGGCGGGCAAGATGGCATACTTAGTTTATTTTCCATATATCTGAGACATAAATAGAGATAAATCATTCCTTTTGATGTATAATGATAGCCAGGTCATTTTTCTACTATTCTAAGTAACAAAAAATCACTCATACAAAGAGATTTATTTAAAAAAAAAATCAAAATCAAAATGTAACAAAAAACCATTTTGCCCGCCCAGTGCGGGCAAAATGGCATACACATAAACAATAGTGTTAAATACAAAAATAATTCTAAATTTTTATTTTTACGAAGAAAAAAAATTGAAATTAAACATTTTAGTTCATACAAAGTTCGCAAATAAATTGTTTTGCTTTTTTGGGAAGTCCAGCACATTCTGAATGTGACCAGTTTTGGCAAATTTGGCATCTTAACCATCTTTCATTAGATTTGGACCTACTAAATGTATCATTGCAGTAAATTCAAGCGCAATCTTCTTGTTCATCATCATTAATACTAAAGGGTTCTTCTTCATCACTTGATATATTGTTTAGTATTGGTCTGATCACAATATTTCTCTTGCCTATTCTCTCCGACTGATGTCTATCTTTGTTTACAATGCGTCTTCCATCACTTAAATCATTGACTATTTTTCTTCTCACGACGTCCCCTTTTCTGCTTTTTATTTCTTGTGCTTTTTTTTTTCATTTTCTTTTTCGCGGAGATATTTCAGGAAGGGGCTCTCGGTTAATACATCTTGGTATTGACCAGATTTGCGTTTGGTAGATTTTCTTACATTACTCTGAGGTACCGGTGCCAATTACATCAGGATTCCTTCAACAGATTCATCTTTAGAACCAGATGCCGATGATGGACATCATGATGATCGTAAGTTGCAGCGTGAGGAACATTAACATCAGCAGGTAAAGATGTAGAAGCAATGTCAGGTTTATTAGTAGAACCAGGCACATCTGTAGTTGCACTAGGCAAAAATGCATGCTCCGGAATAATGTCACGATTTATAGGTGATATTCCTGTGGCCCGAAAACCATTGATTGCGATTTCAATATTTGCTGTTTTCTCATATGCTTTCTGGAAGAGACTGGACACTTGATATATAGTTATTGCACGACCAGGATTTTCTCTGAGCCAATGAGTAACAGCTTAATTATAATATTTATGGAGTGGTCCGAAAAAGGCAACATCCAATGGCTGAAGGTGGTGCGTGCAGTGTGCCGGCAGGCAAAGTAATACCACTGAATTTTGTTTAGCTAATTCTAAAGCTTCGTAGCATTTATGGCTGGAGTGTCCGTTTAAAATTAATAATGCTTTCTGCGCAGGATTCTGCCTGTGCGCCGTCATATAAAAGTGGGTTAAATCTTTTTCGGGGGAAAATTATTGATGGTGGTACGTAAGTTCCTCCAGAAGTTATGCACACTACAACTGTTGTGTGTACACCCCTTTCTACGCTCGTGATAGAGCCCACTTGTTTTTTTCCTTTCTGAGCAAAGTCTTTTGGCGGAACTTGGTCAAGGCTGGTGGTCAAGGCTGATTCGTCCATGTTGAATATCATGGTGTTTTGAATTTTGTGTTCTTCAACAACATCTTCGAACTTATCAAAAAATTTATTTACCTCAGGCTTATTGAATGCCTCGGCCCGTGCAAGACGTAGCTTCTGGAAGACGTATGATAATTGCGGATTTCGTTGGCGAAAACCATGCAACAATCCTTTGCCAGCCATCTTGGTCACTTTATTGAACGGATGATTAATCTTCATTTTCTCTGCAATACTATAGGCTAGCTTGCATAAGTCTGCTCTTGTCACGCCAAAAAACCGGGATTCAAGATACAGAATGTGGGCAACTATTGCCTACTCCATATCTTTGTTTAAAACTGTTGCCAGGGAGCCCAAATGTTTATTCGTTTCAATGGCAATTTTATTTTTATTACCTGCTCGACGTTGTAGTATTGAGAACGGTACATGAAATGTATTACTTGCTTTAAGCCAACCCATTTCGGAATTTCAAACTGCCTCCAAAGCTCTTTGTATGTCTCCTCACTCCAACTATTTCTGTTAGACTTCCTTTTATGTGAATAAACCATCTGCAAAAAAAAACTGAACATGTACCTTAACCTGAAAAACAGACGGGCAAAATGGCATAGTATGTTATTTTGCCCGCCATAATGCTATGTCATTTTGCCCGTTTTGTATTTGTCGACTACTGATAGTTGAAAAAAATTAATAACGAAAATAAACACAATTTTTATTTAAGGTCACATGCAGAGTATAAAACATAATTGCCAAAAATAGAATTCAAAAAGCTCTATAACCTTAATTTAATAAATTATTGAATATAACTTACATTGACCCATCGAACTCGACCAGCACTTATTCACAAATACACCAATCTCGTGGACGGCCGTTAAATTAGGTGCACGAGACTTAATGTGGACAGTGTTGCCACTGTTTGTAATAAGTATCCAGAATTACAGTGACGTAGAACCGTTAGCTTGACTACTAGAACAAAAAACCATTTTGCCCGCCTATGCCATTTTACCCGCCCTTCCCCTATAAAGAAGGTACTAGATTTTTGTTTCAATACAGAGCGGCGGCAACCGCTTATACGTATTTCGACCTCTTTAGATCTAGTCAGAGCGGTATAGCCATGAAATGATAAAGCAAAACCTAGGATATAAGGTTTTAATCAACATAAAATTGTACACATAATATTAACAAAACAATAAAATTAGCATTGCAGTAACAGCACCGAACAACTGACTTCTGTCAAACACTGACAGCATAAAGTTGCCTACAATATTAGAAGTCTACAGCCAGGCAATACCAAGGAGGTTAATATCACATCATTCTCCCACACTATAATCTTCCAGATACCGTGGTAAATGACGAATTCTTTCAGATCTTCTAGGTAGTGCTGAAGAAGGCGATAAGCTCTGTTCAGAACTCATTGGGGGTTCTTTAAGAAGTACTGAATCCAGTGGAGGGGAAGATGTAGATGTATCTGCCAGGGGCTGCATGTTTTGCGTGGTTGTATTGGATGAGGAATCATTAAGATTCGAATGTAACTCACGTGGGTCTTCTACGAACACTGATTCTTGACCTGGTATATCTAGTATTTCCCCTTCACCTCGTCCACTCGGAGCCAGATGACGATTAGACACTGTGGTTTCCCGTCCGTCTTTCAGTTTAACAAAAGAGTATTCAGGATTTGCCTCTATTACCTCCACTTCCTCTACGATAGGCTGGTACTTGTTTTTCCGATCGAACCTTTTCATCAAGACATGCCCAGATTTTGCTAGCCATGACGGTATTGTATTCCCATTTGGAGATCGAAGTGTGTGCACGAACATCCTTTCATGCGGCGTACAGTTAGTTGCGGTACACAACAGTGAACGAATGGACAGATATTAACCTCCTTGGTATAGCCTGGCGCTACAGCCAGGCAATACCAAGGAGGTTAATATCACATCAAGCCACCTCTCTGGATCGAAACAAAATCAATTCCCGTCTTAAACAATAGTTATAAAATAACTATATACGGACGTAACTACGCCATCTAATAACAAAAAGAGAAATCAAACGATTTCTACCTGGCGAAATCGAATTCAAATTTTGACCACCGTGCTTTCTAAAACTCGCAAAGCAAACAGCTTGATAAATAACTCGACAAGGGAATCTAAGATTGCATTCCACATGTCGTTTATCATGGTCAAAATTCGTAGTGAATTCAATTTCTGGTACTCCAAACGGAGTAAAAAAATAAAATATAAACACGGTACTAGATTTTTATTTCAATACAGAGCGGCGGCAACCGCTTATACGTATTTCGACCTCTTTAGATCTCGTCAGAGCGGTATAGCTACCTCTCTGGATCGAAATAAAATCAAGCTGTTTGCTTTGCAAGTTTTAGAAAGCACGGTGGTCAAAATTTGAATTCGATTTCGCCAGGTAGAAATCGTTTGATTTCTCTTTTTGTAATTTGAAAGATCTTGATACTCTTTACCTACAGAGCCCAGATCCATTGTAAAACTCTGGACATACTTATTGGATAGGTTCACTCTTTCTAAAATATGTTGTCAAATGACAGCTAATAAAGCCATTTCAAAAGTGTCCATTTTTTACATGTTTGCTTTGCAAGTTTTAGGAAGCACGGTGGTAAAAATTTGAATTCGATTTCGCCAGGTAGAAATCGTTTGATTTCTCTTTTTGTAATTTGAAAGATCTTGATACTCTTTACCTACAGAGCCCAGATCCATTGTAAAACTCTGGACATACTTATTGGATAGGTTCACTCTTTCTAAAATATGTTGCCAAATGACAGCTAATAAAGCCATTTCAAAAGTGTCCATTTTTTACATATAAAAAGTGCTTGATGTTTTACAGCTGCACTTTGACATTCGTCGTTAGAGATATTAAAAAGCGCATTTTTTTATTTCGTTGAAGCCAGTGTATAACGCTTTATTTGCGTATGCCCTTGCGGTCCACCTAGTTTCACTAAGAGAATTCACAACAGGTGATTTTAAGTTGTCAGTCAAAATTTTCCATCTATATGTGGAAGCCGAGAAAAATGTAGATAATTCTTGTAAAAAAATGAAAAAGCAGTGCAGTTTGTGCAGTATTTTTGCCCCTCTCTCATAATTTATTGCTATAGGCAACTGCCCATATTGCCTAATGGATAAAGCGGCCCTGATTGGATTGATGGAAAAGAAAGTATTTACACGAATCATAAAGAAGAAAAACGTTTTCTTTTGAAGTGAACTTTGGCAAGAAAGAGAGTTTTCTTCTAGTTTCATTTTAATTTTAACACGTCGGTAGATGATATATAAAAAATTATGAAAACTAACTTTTTTTTATAACTTTTTTTGTCTGTTTTTAAACACATGCCCTAGATGCATGAATCAAATATACCAACCTGACTGTTTATTTACTTCCTTAAAGCGTATTCCGATGTGATGGAACCCGGATAACCATTTTTAAGTTGTTCTATACACTTTTGTTACTATTATTTGTATTATTTTTAATCGTTAAACGATCTGAGAACTACTTGTACCTTTCATGATTTGTTAACGTTATTTGCTAAGTTCTAGTTTGTAAATAATTTTTAGTGATTGAAATGTATACCTTTTGAAATATCTGTGATAATTTTGTATATAGTAAATTATTTGAATCATTTAACATTTATTGCTATCATTCTGAAACTCCCAAGGATCTATTAATAAATTAAATTAACAGATGTGCGAATGTTTAAAAAAAGAACATTTAATAATTAACAGAAGTCAGAAGAAATCCACACTGCTTAAGAATATATAAAAACACAGATTAAAAAATGACAAAAAGTACACAATCCATGACTAACGACGAAATAAAACAGAGAAACACATAATATGAAAACAAAAAGTTAATTTATTAAGTAATATTAATTAATATAGACGTTATATGGTTTAAAATACAGTATAATCTCCCTGAATATCAATACACTTGTTCCAACGCATTAAAATGTACCTATGAATTCCATCCCTGAAATGGGAATCTGGAAGGGTTGCAAAATACGCTTCCACAGCTACTGTTAAGACCTCATCATTTGAGGAAAAACGCTTTCCACGCATGAATTTTTTAGGTATTAAAACATATGGAAGTTACTAGGGAACAAATCTGATGAATACAGTTAATGTTCCAACAATTAGAACTTTAATTCATGGATTTTAGCCATTATCCAAATACTCCATATGACACGATGCATTAACCTGATGAAAAAGGACTTTTTCTTCTACAAACCTTTTTCACAAATTTTTTCCTTCAGCTGGTCTAAAACGTTACACGGAATTTAGTTTTACCAAGTTGCATGTAATCCACAAAGAAAATTTCTTCCACATTTCAGAATAGCACCAAGAACCAGGTTCACACAACTCTTTAGTCTCTTGTTTTGATTCAGGATCGTGGTGATACACCCAAGTCTCCTCTATAATAATGAATCGACGCACAAAATCAACTTCATCCTTTCGAAATCACTCTAAACGTTGCTGAGAACCTTGTATTTCAAAGTGTTTTTGTTCAATTACTTGTAGAATCATCATAATAATGCGTATTTACACCAGCTGTCCTAATGCTACACGCGGCCATTTCTAGAATGATGATGTTTTACAGTAAAATACTTCTTTTTAATGAACAAGGGTTTTCTTGTTCGTTTGGTGGTCAATTGGTGGCGTCATCTATAGAGCAATAGCGTTAGTTTTAATAGAGTAAGCTGGTAGGTGTCTATTCTTAATAAAACTGTGTATGTATAACATATTTTTTAAATAAATCTGGCATGTACTGTTGTTGCTCGAAGGTCTTCAATTAATTGTATTATGAGAAAAAATTAATCGTAAGATTCAATTTTATCACAATAAATAATGGATAATAGTTATTAATACATATGCAGACGATACAGTTATTTTAAGTGATGGCATGAATGGACTACAATGCCTTTTAAATGCCATTGATACAGTGGGAAGAGAGTTTGGCCTAAACATAAACTGTTCAAAAACAAAACACATGGTGTTTAGCCGTTTAGCACATCAAGATGCACGTTTATATGTTGATGGTCATATAATTCAAAGAGTGTCCAGTTTTAATTATCTTGGTTGCCATATTACTGAACAACTAGATCCAGATCAAGAGATAAAATGTAGAATCGAGAAAGCCCGCACGACATTTTAAAAAATGAGGTCAGTCTTCTGTAATGATAACTTGCCACTACAACTTCGAAAGCGTATGGTAAAATGCTACATTTGGTCAGTCCTCTTATAGTGTCGAAGCATGGACATTAAAAATATCCACCATTAATCGTCTGGAGGCCTTTGAAATGTGGCTGCTCAGGCGTATACTAAAAATTCCATGGACGGCTATGCTGACAAATGTGGCAGTCCTTGAGAGAGCAAATGCTGCTCGCGAGCTGATAACATCAAATGTAGAAAGATGGCCTATTTTGGACACGTAGTAAGAGGAGACCGATATAATATTCTTCAACTTATTATGATGAGTAAAATCGAAGGACGCAGAGGAATCGGTAGAAAGCAGGCCTCTTGGTTTAAGAATATCAGGGAGTGGACAGGAATAAGGAAAGCTGAGTAACTCTTTAGAATAGCTCGAGACAGGGACAGTTTCGCCATGTTAATCGCCAACGTCAAGGGGACTTGATAGGGCACGTTAAGAAGAAGTTATTAATTTCATTAATAGACCTTGAACTTAGCATGATTTCTAATCTTTACTATTTGAGCTGTTAGTGAAGCAGAACAGACTTTGATTTAGTTAGATAAATGTAAGTAGGATCTCGAGTTAACCATTGTCAGCTTCATTTAACCAAGACTCCCCAAATTTTTGTGTTCTCCCACTCCAAATTCCTACTCTTTTCTCACTTTCTAACGTCTACATTTTGTTTTTTTTCCCAATATTTTGGTTTTGTCTCATTAACTTATGCATGAGGAACTTATGCCTTTGCCTTACAAGTCTCACAAATATACCTTACAATCCCTACATCCTTGTAGGTACTGTTTTGTTGCCAAAAAAGTCGATTTTGTCCACTCTATATATGATAAATAAACAGTACAAAAACAAACAATGTAAAAAAATTTATTTCCTTTTTTCCTCAGATTATTTCACCCTTTAGTTATATTTAACATACCAAAAAGCTAATTATAATAGCCACAAAAAGATAATCTCCCTAAACTTTGATTTTACCATTATAGGACTAAACCAAATCAGTAGTAAGTATACAACATTGGACATTTTTTATTATTTTTCTTAAATAAAACATTTGACATATCTATTTTGAAGAACTGAAATACTCCTGGGAACCCTTGGGGTCTGGTTTTATAGTTTTTCCTCCTTTTTGCCAATTGGCTGGGCACACTAAAACAGAAAAACAAAACTTGTTAACTAAATAAATACAAACTTGAAAATAAGATAAGACTACACACGATAAGATCATCTATTACACTCTAGGGGTATAACATCTGAGTATTTGAAGGTGAAAACTTTGATTTGATAGCCACCCTGCTTACAGTCATGACTTGGCACTGTGTGATTAAAAACAAACTATGTACAAACGATGCAGTAAACATTTTAAGATGTCAGGTGAGGTAGTCAAAGCATACAAAAATCTAATTTCTAAGAATAAATGCTTAGGTGACTTAGGTTTGAATGCAAAAGTATATTGATCTTAAAGTTGAATACTGTAGGAAACAATAACTGATTTTTTTTACAAAAATATGTTTTCCTTCCATTAATCTGTGCAAAACTTTTAATGTATGTCTTGTCAAAAATGTGACAAACCCTTAAACATTAATACAATGTTTACCATCTGTATCAAAAGTTTGTTTTATCTAGAATACATGCGAATTTTTCATATTTGTTGTGCTTTAAATGTGTCTAAATGCTGTTCGCCAAATACATATTGACATAATCCAGTTATTACCCTTCTGGTTAATAATTCTAGTCATTATTGTGCAATAAAAATGTTATATTGTGTAATCTATACCATTAAATTGACTTGTACTGGATGTCAATGTCACTTAAACTGACAGTGTAAAATGTTCATAAACTGTCAGAGCTGACAGTGACAAGTGCATAGAAAAGTAGATCTGGGACTTAATTATTAAAACTCTATACACAAGTATAATATATATATATATATATATATGTTTGAGAGAAATAATAACTCGAAAGTAATTTTTTGGCTTTAAGGCACACAAACTATGTATTTTCAGACAAATCAAGAAAACAGAAACATAAAGACTTACCTTCTCCGTGTTCATCAGTAAATTTAATAGCTTCAATAATCCTCAACGCTTCATTAACATTCCTGCCAATGGGCAAATCATTGACAGTTATGTGCCTCAGGATACCTTTGGTATCTATAATGAACATTCCTCTAAGAGCAATACCTTCCTTTTCTAATAAAACACCATAATTTTTAGCAATATCCTTGTTAATATCAGATAATAAGGGATATCTAATGCTGCCTAAACCACCAGACTAAAAAATAAAAAAAATACTTTAAAAGCAGTAAATCACAAAATATATTTATAGTCATGAATGATAGTAAAAATCTTACACTTCTCTTGGTGTTGATCCATGCCAAATGTGAAAAATGAGAATCAATTGAACATCCTATTACTTCTGCACCTAATGCTTTGAAATCTTCAAGTTTGTCTTCTAAAGCAACTAGTTCTGTTGGGCAAACAAATGTGCTAAAAATAGAGACAGTTATTTATGAAGCTGTCAGAATTAATTTAATTATATATCGCATTTCGATCTTAAATGGGCTGGAAACATAATATGAATGCCAGACAATATAATTGCTAAGAAACTAACCACAGGAATACCTATAGGCAGAAGTAGTAGAGCTAGAAGAGTAGAGTGATTAGATGGAGTTGAGACCAACTTAGGGATACAAAAAAAATCAAAAGATAACAACACATTGCCAGAAAACGAACAGAATGGCAACAAATCTTAGAACAGGCCAGAGGATTGTCAAGCCAAAGATGATCTTCTTTTTCGTGTGACTAGGATTACTTCTGTTTGTTTGCCTCTTATTCTGTTTCAGTCGTTGTTGACTGTACATTATCTTTCCACCTTTGTGGCGGCCTTCCAACTGGTCTTCTGCTATACGGTTTGTTGTTTTTACAGATGTTCACTAATCTATCTGGTCCCATTCAGTTTACATGTTTGTTCCAGTTTTTTTTTCATGTTTTTATCCACCTGTTCATATTTTGAATTTTGCAATATTCGCATATACTTCTGTTGGTTTGTCTGTCTCTTAATGATATGCCCACTTTTGATCTTAATACTTTCATTTCGATATTGTTGTTTCATCTTTCTTGCATCAGTCCTTGTCTCCTCTGCATATGTTAGGATTGGTCTTACTGTTGTCTTGTATACTTTTATTTTGCTTTACGTGGACAGATATTTGTTTCTCTATATAGTTTCTCGGAAGCAACCACTTACTCTTGCTGCTTTTGATGCTTGCCTTGTGGTCTCTGTTCTTATATCCCTGTCACTAGTGATCTCTACTCCTAGGTAATTGAATTTCATTACTTGTTCTACAATTTTGCCGCCTATTTCTAGTTTGTATTTATGCGGCTCTTTACTGATCACTATACATTTAGTTTTTTCTACTGATATTCTCATATTAAGTTTGTTTGCTGTGATATTGAAAGATGATGATAATGGTAAAATATTGCCCACTTGGTCAATTATTGGAGCTGGTATTGGTATTAACTTATCAGAGACAGTTCAGTGAGAATAAGGTCTGGAATGACCAGGTCAATTTAATTGCCTAGTACCTACTTAAGGTCTCTCATTTTCTGGTAAGAAAGTACCATGCATAATGCTCAATTATGGTTGACATGAAATACTATGACATGATTTAACAAGAAACTAAAATTCCTCTAATATAGAAGAACAAAATTTGTTATCCTCAGAGTGATGTCATCTAGTATGATAGCTTATTCTAATAACAGAACTCTACTATGGGGCTAATAGGCTGCCCAGTTTGTTTAGCATTGATACCACAAGAAAACATATCAGTTGATAGCACTATATGCAGAATAGACAACAACAATGATTGAATTACATGTTATTTGGCAAATAATTACAACTAACTCATTTTTGTATAGTTAAGAATCTGAAAACAATAAATTTTAAATTATACTTACAAATCTAAGGGATAGAAAAATAGAACAACAAATCTTTCCTTAAAGTCAGCTAATTTAATTTCTTTGAAGTCACCATTCACAACTGCTATTCCACAAAAATTTGGAGCTGGTTCTTGTACTTTTGGAATAAATAACGATGATGCTATAAAATTAAATCTCTTTACATAGTATAAATTAATTTCCGCACATACTTACTGACACCAAAATTTCTGTGAGTAATTTGTTTCAGTGGAACTGTTCTGAGAATTTGTGGAACCTAAAATTATACAATATTAAATCAGTAATGTACCAAATATAAGACAATAACTCTTTGAATATGAATTACAGGTTATATTCTGATTTAAGAATAAATTACGGTAGTATAATTTTAACGACAAAAAATGTACAGGAATAAATTTTAAGTATATAACATGTAAAAAAAAATAATTAGTTCATAAACAATGGTGAAAGGTCACAATAAAAAAGGCATGTACAGTTCAAAGGTCTTTAATGAATATGATTTTGATAAAGTACATTCTATCTATATTCGATTATATTTCAAAACTGAAATTTAAATAGCAGAATTATTTTTTTCTATATTTTTGATTCACTTAACTTTGCATAACATAACCTAAATTAAAAGTTGCTTACCCTGGTAACCAGATTTTTAAATAATCCAGCCATGATATTGATGAAATTATAAAAGAGTGTGAAAATTTGCTGCTGTTATATCAGACTGATAGAGATTTTAAATGTTTAATGATAATTTTGAAACACTGTTCCAAAATCAAAATCCAAAATGACAATTCAAGAATCAACTATCAAATCTGACAGCTCGATAATGGTCGTTGATTTATCGTACAGTTATGTAACATTCAGATTCTACAATACCGCCACAATCCAGGCAACCAACATATTAGGTGAATATATTAACACATTTAACGAAAACTACAAAAATGAAACTACTTAAACGAGATAATGAATAGACCACATCGTTCTCAAACTATTTTCTTATTATATACTGTATTTGAATCCTGAATGAACCACAATTTTAATCAAAAATGCATTATCTTTGACGATTCTAGGTACAATATGTGCCTATCCATGTGTGTATGTGTATTTTGTCTTTGTGCATGTGTATAAATGAGTCTAGTTTGTGTGTGTCATGTTCAATCAACAAATCTATATTTAATGACAGCTTTAACCCCTGTATCATTATTCTATTTACCAATATCATGTCTGTCATTTGACTGAATAGCTCATGCGTGTAAGGTCCTGTTGTTACACATTTTCTCGAAATGGTTGTAATACAATAATACAAACACTTATTGCATCCTTTATCGAATGCCGAACATCTTGGGAACTCATGAGTGCGACCACGATATTTGCGCTAACTATTTTTTCTTGACTTTTTCTCGTGTACACATCTTCTGCTTTTTCCGGTTATAAGTTGTTATTCGAAGCTTCTCCCTTACCATTCCTTACCATTTGCCCCTTTTACATAATGTTTATTACGTGCTTGCTTGGACCGAACTTCTTTAAACTGTATTTTTGAAATTTCATATGCCCTACACATGTCTATTGAATTTTGTAAGGTTAACTCATGATTCTGCAGTCATTTTGTGCAGTCGAACAGTATTGTAGAACAAAAAGCTTTCGTAAATCTCATTCTTTTTAGGGGCGAAGTACGTCTGTAATGCACCTTATACTGTAACTTTAAGGTGTTAAACACATAGTCCTTCATAAGTCCTTCATCTCTCAAAAAAGTTAACAGCAGAGCAATTTTTACCGTGTTTTCCTTTTCCGCCTTGTCACTGACCAAGAGGTAAATTTCAAATGTCTGTTTGAATCGCCGAAAGCTTTTAGCCACGTTACCTTCAAATGATAATGGTTGAGGGATTTTAAACTTTATATTGGTCTAATTGCAACAACTTTTTGTTTTCGTTTTTAATTTGGAAGCAACAAGTTTCATTGAACACAAGACTTCTTCTAGTTCCATGAATTTCATCGACCGGTGGATATCATGTTGTCTGCATTGTCTTAGATTTCCATGATGTTTATCTTCTACCATGACCACGTTTAACTTGGATCTTTTCTAAATGAACAGATTCAAAAGTTCATATTTTTCATAGTGTCTCATAATGTGACCGAAATATTCCAGCTTTCGTCGCTTTATTATATTGACCAGTTGTGTTGTTTGATTCAGGCGTCTAAGGACCTCTTCATTTCTAACTCTGTCTGTATAGCCACATGTCAAAGACTGCGCCGCATTAACCATTGGGAGGTTTCAGGAATTTGAATTTTCCTGCCCAGTTAGCAGATTTTACTGTTATGAAAATCTCCTACTTAAATGTCAACGTAGTCTTCATGCGATACTTCTTGCTAAAAAACAAACGAACGCAACAAACGGTAAGACTTGAAATTAGAAAAATATAATTCCGTTTATATTCTTTTTTTTTTATATATAGTTATACTCTTTAGCAATCAAAATACAAATAATGTTCTATAAGCTAATTTGCTGGCTGCAGTGCAATTGGCTCCTATTGGCTTGGTGAGGTCTTACCCAGTGACAAGACCAGTTTAACCCTTTCTCAGGTCAGCTGGCCAGTTCCTTTTGAGTCTCCTTTTGACATTATGCTCTATTAGAGGCTGAAGTAAGGGATTACTGTGTGATTCCATTCCTCCATGGTGCTTCGTGCTATATTTAGTGATCACATCATGTATGAACGGAATTCTTAGGTTTTCATGAAGCATTAGGTTTGACACATATCAGGGTGTCCCAGTTATCCTTCGCAGTATTTTCGATTGGCTTCTTTCAATAATGATTGTATTTGATTTACTCGCACATAGTTGGATCCCATACGATTCCATACCCAAGATAGTTTTTATGATATCTTTATAAACAAGAAGTTTATTTTCTAGGCTCAGTTTCAATTTCCTACTGAATAGCCAGTTTAGATCTTTCATTCTTGGGTTAATTTGTTTCCGCTTTTCAAGAATATGTCCTTTCCAATGGAGTTTTGAGTCAAGATGTATTCCTAGGTATTTGGTGCTGAAGGATTGAAGAAGTTGGATATTGTTAAGTGAAACTGAGGGGACACTGGTCTCTTCTCAAGGTAAAAGTCACTCTGACTTTTCAGACAAATTTCATTAATTTTATTTCTCCACTTGTTTGACCACATCTCGATTTAATTCAGTTGTACTTGTAGAATGTTAGATGCTATAGTTGGATTTTGCTTGGCAAGGAGGACAGCAACATCTTCAAACATACCAGTGATGGTTTCATTATTGGAGGGTAGCAAATATAATATTGGTCCAACAACGCTGCCCTGTGGGACACCAGATTTTATAGGAAAATTATTGGAATTACTTTTATTCAATCTTGTTCGGAATTCTCTTCCACTTAGATAGGATTTTAATAGTTTCAGGTAAGTGAAGGAAAGATATTTCTTGATCTTGAAAATCAGGCCTATGGTCCAAACCTTCTCAAAGGCTTGATTAACGTCTAGAAAGGCAGCTGTGCAGTAAGTACTATTTGCTTTTCATTGTAGAATTTAGGGAGTGTACTGTTCTGTGAACCTGCTGTATCGTTAAGTGTTCTTTTCGAAAGCAAAATTGGAGGTTGGGTATCCATTGCTCCTTGTATTGCTCCATTGCTCCAGCTTTGGCCAGTAGTTTGACCGTAGAATGGCATTGAAGACGAGAGTTAACAGTATGATTCCTTAATCTGGTAGTTCCCTTATCATCTTGGGTGTTATTTTGTTCAATTCAGGAGATTTTCTAATGTTTAAATATTGAATTTATTGTTGAATTTCGTTTTTGGTTAGTGGTCTGATTACTGGTATATTCACTGGAATGTGATTTATGTCTCTTTCAATTTCAAAGTATGGAGCTTCGTTGTTGGGAGTAAATACTTCAGCTATTATAGGTGTTTGGCAAATAGCATTGTTTATTTCTCATCACTTCTGGCCCTATGTAGTGTTGGTCCCTCTTGGTTTCTAATTGGAGGTACTAGAGTTTTTAGTTTTTTGGAGTTTTTGATCGGTTTCCATATTAAGTTGTCTTGCCGGTTAAGATTTGTGAAAATTCTCTCTAGTTACTCTTTAAGTATGGATTTTAGTTGATTGCTTAGCCTGCTTAATGTAGTCTGGTCTGCTGGAGCATGGGTTCGGTGCCATTTGATCCTAGCTTTCATATATATATATATATATATATATATATATATATATATATATATATATATATATATATATATATATATATATTGTTCACAGGCGTAGCATTTTGTACGGTCTCTATGAAAGTGTTTTTTAAGGCTATAAGTGTTTCATCTATCTCCCTTGTTGTTTTGAGGCTTACTTATGGACTGATAATTCTTCTTCTAATTTGCTACTTATTTGTCCCAGTTAGTTCTCCCAGTGTGCAGCCTTGGTGTGGCTGATTTGTAGACTATGAAGCTACTACTAGTTTGGGAGTGGTCGGATGAAAGGTCATAGTTCGGCATGACTATCATGTAGGTAGAAGAGATGCCCTGAGTAATAAATAGATCCAGCAGATCAGGTGTTTTGTTTGGATCCGTTGGCCAGTATGCAGGAGAGCCTGTTGACAAAGGATGGTAGTTTTTTTTATGTATTAGGCTTACTAGTTTTCTGCCTTTAGTTGTCGTGAGACGAGATCCATAGTAATAACTTCTCGCAGTTTCCTCTTCATCATCAACATTTTCGTCCTCACTACTCAAATTACTGTCTAGTATTTAATCATTCCTCATAGTATCATATTGGTCATTATCGCTAAATTCAGAATAATTATCAGTATCATGATCAGTAATAATTGTTTTGGCGTCAGAAATATCATCATCACTATCAAAAAAGTATTCAGCAATCTCCTCTAACTCCTGCTGTGTTAGAGCTTTCTTTTTATCTTTGTAATCTTTTTATCTATCACCGAAAAAATAACACTTAAGGTATAGCGGGGTCAAATTTGACCAGATCTACGCGTAACACCTAACTAAGTGGAAGGTTAAAGACGACTGCTACACGTAAACGATATACTCGGTGTCGTAGGGGAATAGCCATTATACTATGACTAATAGCTGTAAGGCGAGGCTGCTGCGTCCTCTCGTCTTTCTGAGAATTAAACACTTATTTCAACACAGTCAAAAAAATGTCAAAGAAATGAATCTAATGAACATTGGAATACATTGTATCCAGTTTCATATACATGAAAATTTCCACAAGGCAGTAAAGAACACATAGTTATTGTAGAAAACAAAGTTATTATGCCATAAAACATAAAACCTATTGTGACGTTTCGATTTCCACTTCGAAAACATTAATGCTTTGTATTAAAGTGAATATCTTAATGTCGAAATAAATTTATTTTAAAGTCAAAGTACTGAATTTATGACAAATCTAGAATAATTTAGCTATTATTTCACATTACTAATGTGTTAAAAATAAACACCGAACAATGTATTTTATTGCCGCCTCAAGAAACGTTAAAATCTGTCTGTTTAAGAAGATTATTAATTTTAATTACAATTCAAATGCAGAATAGATACATTCTCGCTCATATACGTATAAATTCACACCCTAAGCACAAGAATAAGAAACAGGTATGAAAACGAAAGAATAAGAGGGTGGAAAAGTTATTAACGTTAAAACGACCGTTGAAAAGTGAACCGCCGAACAAAATGGCGATGGAGTTTATTCTGCGGTCTCTGGGGGAACATTCCAGTCGCGAAATAGAAATGCATTTTCCTTATATAGCGTTTTTTATTATACGTCTATCGCTGGATGCGAAAATACCAACCAACAATCT